TTGATCTCGAAGCTGAGCGTCTACGAAGTCCTTCATTCTGTTTAACAATACCCTGTTGAAGACTTTGCCTGGTTCTCACACTTTGGTCAGGTATTCTTCTTTCTGGTCTGTTAGTACTTATTCCTCATCCCGAATCTTGTTGAAGAGAATGTGAAATATGTATGCCTGCTTTCACTGCCTCAGCTGGAATGTTGTCTAGTCCTCCTGCTTCGCCTCTCTTGATTTGTCTGATGGCCATGCTGATCTCTTCAATTGTAGGTGCATCAACATCAATTGAGAGGTCCGCATATGCTGCTTCGATGTTGGATGGGTTTAGTGGAGCTGCTCTATTCAAAAGTTTCTTAAAGTGCTCTACTCAACTGTTTCGCTGTTCGTCAGTGTTGCTGATTACTTGGCCTTCCTTGCTTTTCAAATCCTCACCATTCAAAGAATAATCAAAAGATCTTGGTTTAAAAAAACAACTTCCTACAGAATATGATGGTCAGGCTAATAAAGAAGTAACAAAACGCTACCATTTCGTAACAGAAAAATATGGAATTTTATATATATAACTGATTATCCTACATCAATGTCTTAGATACGATTTGATCGAATCGAAATATACTTTGTAGCTTGTATCTGATCTCTCCCGATATATAACTCAGTATGTTTGTTGTATGATGAATTTTTTTATGATCCTGACTGACTACATTTATGAAATACAAAAGTTTGAACATATCTCGAGCATTCGTTCGATAAAACTTTTATTGAGGGGGATCAAGACATATCTATTTATAGGAACAGTATCAGCATTCTTTTGATGAGTGACAGTTGACAGAATGTGTAGAATCTATTTTGAAGGCTTTGTTTTTGGAAAATCCCTCCATGTATATATACTTGTGTTATGATATGACTGACTCTTTCTGTTCTATATTTTGGTATTTTATTTGATCCCATTTGAGATTTTATCATTTGAATCTTGTCATTATTTCTATATCTTGTACTTACATTGAAGTTTCTATGTTTCCTTCTGAACTAAATATGTGTTGCTTAAAATTAATACTTGATATGGCTCCAGCCATATTTGGATTTGATACTCTAGCAGTAACTAACTGGAAGCACTTATTCTTCCAGTAACGGAACCTATTGTGGTGATTAGAAACTCGAAGGTGTAATATTGTTTTGGTAATTGTCTGAATTTGCTTTTTTAATTAAATATAGAACCGTTATTTCCCAGAATTATCGTTTTTGGACTTGGACTGGGTAAGACGCGTGTGAACCTACACCATTCGGTTTCAGAGCGGACTGCGAGAGTAATAAATTACCTTACAGAACGTCCGCTATGTTTGTAATGCCTCCACATATATTCGGCTTCGCTTACATTTAATTTGGTTAAGCCGTTTCTAATAATTTATTTAATCAAGTCATTTGTATAGCAACAGTTAATATGCACCATTCGTTCTTATTATTGTCTGGTTTTTCTGAGCTCACATGACTTTTCTCACCTGTTTTTCGACCTTGTCAACCATTCATTGCTTTTATTCATGTGTGTGCATGCCTATCTCGTAATCAACACTTTGTGTCCACCTTCTGATTTATAAACCATCAGACTCTATTTAATAACGATTGTCTAAACGAGCTAATCACCACAAATCTGGTGAGCCCGCCGTGGAATCTAACGCACTCATCAGTAATATGTGTGATTTTATGGAAATAAACATTATTGATTGACGAAATTTTTTCAGAATTCTTTTATAATTATGTTATAATAAAATTTATTTTTTATATATGATAATATGCAAAAAGAGCCTTGCTGATTATTCACAAGTACATGGTGTGTGAATACCAACTTAACTTAATTCGTGAAATATATATTTCATCATACCGATTACCTTAAACATATTTATCAATATTGTTTTCTTAAAACATTAACGTATTTATCACAGAGATACATGCGAATATTTTGTAACTTAGTCTTAATAAGTTAAATATGACACATCACGTGAATGTTGTGTTCCAATAATAACATATTCCAAGCAAAAATGAGTAAAGTAAGAGTACCAGTTTATACTTTGCAAGAATTTGGTAACTGTTAAAAGTCAATGTCTATGTGGAAAAAAAATTTCACCTATTCACATTTAGAGTGTCTGAAATTGCGATTACGATACATCTTATTATCATCCTCCCTCTCAGCTAGAACTGAAAGGCAGTGGATTCACTAGTTTCTTCAACTTCAACAAATTGTTTCATGTATTGCACTGTAACCAGAAATGAGTAAATGGAAGTGCATTTGACTATAGTATTTACGTGACGTCTTTTCCATCAGCTTTTGAAGAGAGAAGGTGTTTTAAACAGATGAATGACAAACAATCATTGCTAGAATATGATAAAATAGTAAATCAGATACTGACATACTTTTGAGCATTGTTTGTTTTTCAGATTTTGAACTTTCAACATATTTCACATCTCAGTTAACTCCTCTCATATACTACTTTGATCATTCTGTATAAAAATGTGGATGAACATTTAGCGTAACTTCGATTTAACTGATGTATATCATTTTTTATTATCTTGACAACGATTACTCAAAAGAAATCTAAATAAGAAAGCGAGATGAGACATTGCAATTATATATTTCAGATTCTTTCAAGTAAAATATACACAGAAAATTAATGACTAGTGTGCACATGGATACCGAGTTGTAGGTATATTCAGCTGAAAGGTGCAATACAGAACTAAATCAACGTCCTGAATTTCGCTACAAGCAACAATGCATAAATTCAGTTACAACTGATTAGTATTGTTACACTCATCAAGTCGCTGGTGAAAACATCTTCAATTTAATTCAACTTTAATAGTCTAAAAGGTGAGTAAACATTCAACAACCGATATCTGTTTGAACTCAACGTCGGCCTAATTAGGGTCAACAATGACAGTCGCTTTACACTTCATAAAACTTTATTTTTTGTCTGTTTAACAGTTTCCTAATAGTTAGTAGCTGTATACTTGTACTTTCTTTTTTCTAACTGGTTCAATTAACAACATAGGTTCCCATTCTGTGATTCTGTGAAACGAGAAACTCAAGATGGAAGTTCCTGCTTTTGTTATTTTCTTCACCTTAAATTCATAAATCAATCTTCTTTCAACGAATTTCGAGAGGTTTAAAACATTATACTCTGAGTCGTTTCAAATTCGTTGGATCTGAAAACATCTGGAAGAAAGTCAGAACTAAATGTCAGTAATGCATTATATCCAGTTGTCTTGTTTTCTTTCAGATTCAGTTTTATTTCGATCACCCCGAGGTGTCCGTTCTTAAGCTTGTATTGCCTCAGCCTTTTTGTGCAGTTGATGACTGCGCAGTAGGCTTTCGTGGTAATAATAAAATGAAAATCAATGTAAGCTAATTGCCTACTAATTATGATTGAACTTTAATTCACAAGAGTTTGTACAGTGAGCAGAAGAAAAGTCTTTCAAGAGGAGATGTACGTACATGAAAAACTGACCTTAGTCGAACGTTGAGTTCACAAGTTTTACAGAACGTTTATTATTAACTAAATGTCATATTAGGACTGATATTTCACATGAAGCAGTTAACTTTACTGCTTGGCTAGTTCCGCCTTTTTCAAGCAATATCAGGGGGTTTCGTCTCATATTGAGTCAGATTATGCAATTTTACTGTGTATACTGAACACGTTCTCACATGTTTCATGTCAAATTTAACAAAAACATAACGTCTTCACTATTTGCGAAGAGTCTCTACTTTTATTCTGAGAAGTTGTTTATTCATGTATTTGAATCTATTAACTTATAAAACTTGGTTTAATAGATTTCGTTAATCATCATATGTTTTACTAAGATGCAAACATTTCACATGGAAAACACATTCAATGTCAGACCAGATTCATTCATTCGAAACAAAACCGAAGTGGATATACACCGAATGATAACGTTGTATCCATGTTTAAGTAAATCATTGTCTAAAATACAATACAGAAAGTTATGAATCTCCTTTCAATTTGTGTTTGCTCCTCATTATGAATTTTCATGCATAACAGTCACCCCCAACTGAAAGTCTCATCCTAAACGACAATCTTTGCTGCACCAAACGGTTTACATTTAGCCTAATGACGAAGGCCATAGATCGTATCAATAAATTATATTCTACGGCAGTACGAATAACTCTTGCTTCTAAATGTCTTCTTCAAAGCGATTTTCAATGAATGCTAAATTATGCGTACCAGCTCACCTAACCGCATTCGCTAACGTACCCAATTATCTGGACTACGGTAAAATGATATCAATTCATATGAAATAATCAAGTCCTTGATAGAATGATGAAATCAATCAGTGAGAAAATGCAAATGGATTTCAAAACTTTCGTAAAAGCCTGTTTCCTCATTTCACCACATCATTTCAAACTCTATGATATTATCCACTATTCATACACTTGTATTCACTAAAGCATGTATGTATGTCTGATCAAAATAACTATAAAATGAATACGTATCAAAAATACAGATAACTTTGTACTATACACTGTTATGTATGCAATAAGCTTGCAAATTTTCAAATGAGTAAAATGCTTTCATATTGACAGTTTGGTAACAAATTATTTTATGATTGCTTAGTTCTACTTTGATTATTATCCTAACATCTAGAAGATAGACAAATTCATTAGGCACTGAATAGCAGCTATGTGGTAGTATTTGTGGCGTAGATTTCGTTATATGAATAATTTTTTGCTTCTGTGTAAACTTTGGTGATGCTTGACATCTCCAGCAAGACGTCTGCTGCCGAATCACTGAATATCATCGAGTGTCTACACACTGCTTTACGAACATTATGTAACAGTATGGAATACGCCGACTGAATAAGGATTTGGCACTTTATGTAAAGAGACTATGTTTTATTATCCTCAATATGCAAATACAAAATATAAATGAACAAAGCCGTGGAAAACCTAGTTTCATACAATGCCATTTATTGAAACAGTCGTAAAAAACAACGTCTGCTAAGCGATATCATTTAAAACTATGCAAATATATCTTCCAACATGTGGATTCATTGTAACAAAATATCTTGTACGTGACGGTGATCACACTGCGACGGTCTAGGAATAAAAAATATCTAGTTATTTTATGAATTTGCAAGTAAAACACGATAATCCTCTTAAAATCAGTGAATAATGATCTATCTCACATATTTTTAGACAGTTTGTATTCAATGTAAATGATTTAATTTTTTTTAGCCAAACATTGACTCCAACTGCATAAAACTTTAATGTAGATTCTTATCAATGTTCTCCAAGAACCAATCTACTTATTGACCAAATGTTTTGATTACGTGAAGAAATTTTGAAGATAAATAAAATCAGTAAACAACATCACGTAAAAAACTGAAAATATTCAAACTACTTATTGATTATAATGGATGAATATGTAACTGCAGGTGATTACATCATCGCATATTCTCACTGTGATCCAGCAGTTACTCAAAGCAACTGCTATTTGACACTGAACCTTCAACTCCATTATGTTGTAAATATTATACATCTACTACGCCTCATTCAAATAATAATACAATGAAACATGAATTTTCAACACTTACAACGTGATAGCTGGCTTTCGAGTTCCGAAAGAATGTTCAAGAAAAACTCGTAACTGACTAAAATTTTCAAAGTAAACGACAATTATTTTGTAAATTGTGTGGCTAGCTAGTGATTTTTCATTTTATATTTGTGATGAAACAAACATGTAAATATGTATGACCTTAGAAGCGAACCGTGGCGCAAACATGATGACCAGAATCGTGCTACTTCTCTGGTGGTAAGTTTGAGGTGTGCCGATTTACTGCGTGTTCTTAAGCTCGTTTATAAATCAGAAGGTGAACTCCATGTATCGTATACGTTTATTTGAGGCACACCACATAGCGAATTGAAGAAGCGACTTGGAGAAGGCTAGTGAGCCAACTCAAAGAGATAGAGTATGACTAAGAATATATAGTCAGATAAGAATAAGACAGACATATGACAAGCGAAATAGATATGCACAGACATGAATAAAAGCGACGAATGATTGACAAGGTCAAAAGCAAGCGATACAAATCATGTGAGTTCATGGGAATATTACGAGATTAACATTAAAGCGAAAAGGATGAGTAAGTGCGTAAGCGTAAGCAATGCTCAGTCGTACAAGCTCATACAAAGCAGATAATAAAAAATACCAATGGTACATATGAGTTGTTGCTATACAAATGGCTTGGTTAAATAAATTAATCGAAAGGGCTTAAGCAAATTAAATGTAAGCGGATGCAAATAAATGTGGATGCACTACAATAGCCCCCTTCCAGCAAACAAGGATACGAAAGTGTCTGTGTTTGCGAAAAAAAAATCAAAATAGTCGGAATGCATCAAAAGGTACGAAAATTAAAGTTACCTTGTCCGAGTACGTTCGTAAGTTCGCATAGTAACAGAATATCAAAAAAATATGGTAAGCGGTTATTAGCAAAAATAATCGATTTCGAATAGAATACATTAGGAGCAGTTGTACGATACGAAAATGTAATACAAATGCTGCAAAGTATTTAATATCGTTTAGGCATGACTGTTAGGACGGAATTCGATAATCGCATAGACATTACGGTAAGGCTCATCGATAAATCGAGTGGCTGCACATAGGTGAAGAAATTGCGGTCGAGATTATCGTGAAAAAATTTGGAGAATAAAGCTGCGTACAGATGCGATGCCTGGACATTAAATGCATATCGAAAACATAAGTTACTACCATTGAGTATATGACTCCAAACTTATGTGTATGATAGCGTTGCAAACCGTTGCCAGCGTTGGGGTAGCCGAAAAACATGCGAATATCAGCGTGCAGGAGGTTCGCTCGACTGCTTGAACTGCTGTTTCGTGTGCATGTACGTAAGATCATACCACCAATTTACTTAGCAGGCTGCAAGATTTTCGAGTACGTGCAGCTGACGAGTACATAGAAGATATCTCCAATGCGATAATCGTATAGCCACGGAAATATTAATGGACGACAATTGTCGTTGAGCCGTTGCTTTGATATGCGATTCGAAACATGATAATGCGAAACGGCAATATAAATGGAATGAACTCACCTTAATCATGAATGTCGTTCATGGTATCGAAAAATAATTCCGTGAGTTACAAATGTCGTGCCGTGAATACAATATTCGTAATGCGATTCGATTAGCGATTAAGATAATTCCATTATTGTCATAATATCATGATTAATCATAATAATGGTTCTTTCACATTACCACGATAATGATAGCGATAATTCAAGAAATATATTAATGCGACGAGTTGGTACATAATCAAAATGACGATAAGATAATGCTTGATTCGTTCAGCTAATGCATTAAGTACGAGAGCTGCTTTGTCGCTGCATGGCGTCGGGATTTCCAGTTAGTGGTTCTGTTCGATTTGTCCTCGAAATTACCAACTGGTTGGTTATATTCGATTTGTCATCGGAATCGTCGAATTATGTAGTGAGAGTTTACTGATCTTCAGTGAAGACGTATGGACGAATGAATCGAGCGAAGCAAATAGGGAGTGATATGAATGAACGACGGGTTCAACATTTTGTACGGTGGCCGATTTTGCTGACGTCGGGATAACCATTTTGTAGTGCACTGGCGAGCGAATGCACAGAAGAATGATTGCATTCGATTCTACGTCGAAATTACCAGTTAATTGTAAGCGTTCGATTTTTCGTCAGCATCAGGAAACATCCTGAGAACGTCGGGCAGCTTTGTGATGAGTACATAGATTCAACGGCGGGATAACCATTATGTATGGTGGCCAATTTTGTTGACATAGGGCTCACCATTTATATAGTGTGCCGATAACTGCGTGTTCTTAAGCTCGATTTATAAATCAGAAGATAAACTCCAAGTATCGTATACATTTATTCGAGGCACACCACATACAGACCGAGCAGATACACCAGCGAGCGAATATGCGAATGAGCGAAGCGACTTGGAGAAGGCTAGTGAGCCAACTCAAAGAGATAGAGTATGACTAAGAATATATAGTCAGATAAGAATAAGACAGACATATGACAAGCGAAATAGATATGCACAGACATGAATAAAAGCGACGAATGATTGACAAGGTCAAAAGCAAGCGATACAAATCATGTGAGTTCATGGGAATATTACGAGATTAACATTAAAGCGAAAAGGATGAGTAAGTGCGTAAGCGTAAGCAATGCTCAGTCGTACAAGCTCATACAAAGCAGATAATAAAAAATACCAATGGTACATATGAGTTGTTGCTATACAAATGGCTTGGTTAAATAAATTAATCGAAAGGGCTTAAGCAAATTAAATGTAAGCGGATGCAAATAAATGTGGAGGCACTACAATAGCCCCCTTCCAGCAAACAAGGATACGAAAGTGTCTGTGTTTGCGAAAAAAAAATCAAAATAGTCGGAATGCATCAAAAGGTACGAAAATTAAAGTTACCTTGTCCGAGTACGTTCGTAAGTTCGCATAGTAACAGAATATCAAAAAAATGTGGTTATTAGCGGTTATTAGCAAAAATAATCGATTTCGAATAGAATACATTAGGAGCAGTTGTACGATACGAAAATGTAATACAAATGCTGCAAAGTATTTAATATCGTTTAGGCATGACTGTTAGGACGGAATTCGATAATCGCATAGACATTATGGTAAGGCTCATCGATAAATCGAGTGGCTGCACATAGGTGAAGAAATTGCGGTCGAGATTATCGTGAAAAAATTTGGAGAATAAAGCTGCGTACAGATGCGATGCCTGGACATTAAATGCATATCGAAAACATAAGTTACTACCATTGAGTATATGACTCCAAACTTATGTGTATGATAGCGTTGCAAACCGTTGCCAGCGTTGGGGTAGCCGAAAAACATGCGAATATCAGCGTGCAGGAGGTTCGCTCGACTGCTTGAACTGCTGTTTCGTGTGCATGTACGTAAGATCATACCACCAATTTACTTAGCAGGCTGCAAGATTTTCGAGTACGTGCAGCTGACGAGTACATAGAAGATATCTCCAATGCGATAATCGTATAGCCACGGAAATATTAATGGACGACAATTGTCGTTGAGCCGTTGCTTTGATATGCGATTCGAAACATAATAATGTGTTACGGCAATATAAATGGAATGAACTCACCTTAATCATGAATGTCGTTCATGGTATCGAAAAATAATTCCGTGAGTTACAAATGTCGTGCCGTGAATACAATATTCGTAATGCGATTCGATTAGCGATTAAGATAATTCCATTATTGTCATAATATCATGATTAATCATAATAATGGTTCTTTCACATTAATACGATAATGATAGCGATAATTCGAGAAATATATTAATGCGACGAGTTGGTACATAATCAAAATGACGATAAGATAATGCTTGATCCGTTCAGCTAATGCATTAAGTACGAGAGCTGCTTTGTCGCTGCATGGCGTCGGGATTTCCAGTTAGTCGTTCTGTTCGATTTGTCCTCGAAATTACCAACTGGTTGGTTATATTCGATTTGTCATCGGAATCGTCGAATTATGTAGTGAGAGTTTACTGATCTTCAGTGAAGACGTATGGACGAATGAATCGAGCGAAGCAAATAGGGAGTGATATGAATGAACGACGGGTTCAACATTTTGTACGGTGGCCGATTTTGCTGACGTCGGGATAACCATTTTGTAGTGCACTGGCGAGCGAATGCACAGAAGAATGATTGCATTCGATTCTACGTCGAAATTACCAGTTAATTGTAAGCGTTCGATTTTTCGTCAGCATCAGGAAACATCCTGAGAACGTCGGGCAGCTTTGTGATGAGTACATAGATTCAACGGCGGGATAACCATTATGTATGGTGGCCAATTTTGTTGACATAGGGCTCACCATTTATATAGTGTGCCGATAACTGCGTGTTCTTAAGCTCGATTTATAAATCAGAAGATAAACTCCAAGTATCGTATACATTTATTCGAGGCACACCACATACAGACCGAGCAGATACACCAGCGAGCGAATATGCGAATGAGCGAAGCGACTTGGAGAAGGCTAGTGAGCCAACTCAAAGAGATAGAGTATGACTAAGAATATATAGTCAGATAAGAATAAGACAGACAATGACAAGCGAAATAGATATGCACAGACATGAATAAAAGCGACGAATGATTGACAAGGTCAAAAGCAAGCGATACAAATCATGTGAGTTCATGGGAATATTACGAGATTAACATTAAAGCGAAAAGGATGAGTAAGTGCGTAAGCGTAAGCAATGCTCAGTCGTACAAGCTCATACAAAGCAGATAATAAAAAATACCAATGGTACATATGAGTTGTTGCTATACAAATGGCTTGGTTAAATAAATTAATCGAAAGGGCTTAAGCAAATTAAATGTAAGCGGATGCAAATAAATGTGGAGGCACTACAAGTTACATAACCATAAATTTCGTCAGTTGTTAGTTTGGGTCAATAGACAGTCATTCTAGTTACACATTTTTTTTTGAAACCATGAACCGATCAATGTTAGACCACCATTAGAAACCTGGAAGCACTGGACGGCTGTTTCGTCCTGGTATGGGACTCTTCAGCAGTGTGCATCCATTCCAAAAATGTGTAACTTAACAATCTTCACAACCCCGTAATGCAAATCATTCTAGTGACTATGTTCATTATGAGATTATTTATCGGCAATCAGTGAAACAGTGCAATATGCGCCAAGGTGGAACCGAGGACGCAAGATCATTCTTATCGAATTGCATCATTGGAAAGTGAACAATATTGAACTTACACAATGCATAGTTGAATATACGAATATTGATGCTATATTGAGAAATTTCCCTATCAAGCCATCTTATATCTACAAAAAACAAGAGTCACTTGGACATTTATTGACATATTTGAGAAAGCAATTCAAATCTAATCGATTGTTTACGCCAAATCAATAATAATACATATATTTAAATACATATATATTGTAGTGAAGGAGAACACAGGTGACGGCAACCGAATTGTGTTGAACGAAAATTACAGAGTTACTCAGTAAAATAGGAAAACCATATCGCGTAAACCGTTAATTTGCAAAATATCAGTCCATCATATCGAACTGGACTGTTCCTGTTGCAAAACACCAACAATCCATTGTCACTATTCATGCGTTTCATACAAATTCCATTGTGTTCTTCTAACTCTTCCTTTCTTGATCTTCCCCCATCTTCTGCTGCCAGACATTACGTTTTCACTCACGTCATATACTACTTATAAGTAGCTCGCACCACAATATGATTATGTACGTTTGTGTATACATCAATATATATGTGATGTAATTATCTTAACGCCATAAGCTTTTTTTCACAAAAAATGGTGTACGCATCTTCGTGAAGCAAATAATATGTGATTTCCTCATCACAAAATATCCTATTAATAAGTCAAAAAATCTTATTTACAGGTTTTATGTCGTGAAATCAAACATTTCATTTGAAAGATTAGAATTTATCAAATTTACTTCTTCCGTTAAACGGAATTGGAGGGTAACAAACATTTCCAAAACCATTGGTCAATAAGCCTAGTAAAGTTTAAAATGAACATTGAAATGTGTAATTTCATTAAAACACCAAATTCATGCAAATTTTTGATTGATACAGAAAATAAACTTCTATGTATAATCGAAATCAACCAAGAGATTGAGGGTCTGTTAAAGCATACAATTTATTCTAAAATCATACCTTTTTATACAAATTTTATTCAGTTATTTTTAATTACCATAGCAGTCTACGTTTTCTGATTAACTATACTAAGGAACAATGAGTTCATATTGTAGAAAAGGAGAACACAGGTGGGGCAACCGAATCGTATTTAACGAAAATTACAGAGTTGCTCAGTAAAATCGGAAAACCATATCGTAAGTCGTTAATTTGCAAAATATCAGTTCATCATATGGAACTGGAGGACTGTTCCTGTTGCAAAACATCAATCCATTGTCACTATTCATGCTATTTCATACAAATTCCATTGTTTTCTAACTCTTCCTTTCTTGATCTTTCCCCCATATTATGCTACCAGACTTTACGTTGACACTCGCGTCATATACTACTTATAAGTGGTTCGCACCACAATATTATCGGCTTATAGAAACAGCCGATTTCTGAAACAGTTGTTTAAAGAACTGAAAGTCAACTGCTTGAAACTTTTATGGCAAACGATAAACTAGTAAAGCTTACTTTCATATATTGATTCTTTCTTGTTGAAGCATGACTTGAACGTAGTGGAATTTGCAACGCTTATTCCTACAGTTCGATAAAATATGAGGCAAATATATTAGTCTAGAATGATTAGATAAGTTTGATTATGTAACATTGTTTTGTTTGTGTCAAATTACAGGACGTATTGGAAATGCTCAAAACATTAAGGTGACATTCAGGAAATTGATTTCGGATCTCAAATTTATCCTGTGATCAGGAAATTTTCATTATCAAGAAACAATTCCACGGGTTAATAACTATTGAATATGTTGATAAAATCAAAACTTGTATTTAACCAATGATTCAGACAGCGTAGCTCACCGAAATCTCTTTCTTCAATCCCAATTGTTTTGATTATATCTGTAAAAACATAAAACAGGGTAGTTCATGTCAAAAGCAAACACATGAAGTTTTGAATTTTATACTGTTCACCTGCATTTCCTAATCAAAGTATCCATTCTAAATTAAACAATTGATTCTACATTCTACCATTACATGTTCAATTAGATGAAAATCCCTCATGTCATAGCTGTGTGGTGCACGTTACTTATAAGTAGTATATGACGTGAGTGTAAACGTTATATCTGGCAGCAGAAGATGGGGGAAGATCAAGAGAAAGGCAGAGTGGGGGGAACACAATGGAATTCGTGTATGAAACGCATGAATAAGTGAAATGTCAGACAATGGATTGATGATGGATTGAAGATTTGCAAATTTCACCGTTTACGATATGGTTTTCCTATTTTACTGAGTAACTCTGTAATTTTCGTTAAATACAATTTCGTTGCCCTCACCTGTGTTCTCATTCATTACAGCTGTTTAACTGGTTATTGCTTTTAGATATCCAAATGTTAATTATATATTAAGCCTGATTTTAATAAATCGTTCCTATTGACTACTTGAACAACAATATTTGTTTATTCTATGTGTGTGTTATTTAATCTCAAACTAGGAGTGATTTTACTAGTTTTATATATTATAGACAGACAACTACCACGAATTAATTAGAGTATGAACGTCATTATTGTTGAAATAATTTTGAGAATTCACAAACCTTGTATAAGAATACGCTGATTAATCGATTCAAATAGTTTAGTTTTGCACATTGTATCTAAATTAATAAAGTATATTTATGTAGTAAGTAATTTCGCTTTGTAACTTACATTGATCTATTGATTGGTTTCGTTTCTGAAATTCTATATTCAAGAAACCTGAAAAGCGGAAAACGACAGATTATTGTCATTTCTCAACCTTCAACAGCATGAACATATTCACAATGCATAACAATATACAACCATTTTGAATAGTAGCATTCACCTTTTTTTTCCAAGATGTACGCTACATTTGATTATAATGACTAGGGATTTTTGAAATTGACTCACTTTTCAGATCAAACAGTTGTCTGCTTTTAATTCTTAACGACTTTATTGCATCAAGTATGAATTCTACGCATATTGTAAAAATAAATTCAAGAATCACTCATTCATTAAACAGAAATTTGAAAAAAGACCATCTTATACAGATTACCATACAAAAAAGCCTTACTGTTCTGAGAATAGTTGCATACCTTCTGTTAGCTTAATATACGCTTTGACGTGATATATTTTCCATTCTTTAACATTTTTTTTTAAAAATCAAACAATGAAACAAGATAAAAAATAAATATTTGAATTAAGTCAATCGATATTGATCGAAATTAAATTCCACTTCTAATTTAATGTGTTTGTTAAAGCTGACAGTTCATTCAAAATATTTTGTCAGGCTTTTTAACGTTAAATAACAAACACCTAGCTCGCGTTACATTACAAGTTAATAAAACTAAGTGGTTTTTAGTTGAGGTGAATGTTGCATGAATGTTACGAGTGAAAAATCAACCTTATTAAATAAATAATCTTAATAGATTTGACACAAGATACATTCAAATTCAATCGGTATTTACCACTCAGGGAATCCTCTTCAGCCTGAACAATATTCTTTATGCCGAGCTTGTATACAACTGAAATGATAATATTTGATTTCATTTTAATCAAACATCCAATTAAAAATATTCATTTTTTCTGATCACACATTCAATACTGCCAATTACGAGTTGTTCATTTTTGCAAGATACTGTGGTGTGAGCTACTTATAAGTAGTATATGACGTGAGTGTCAACGGAATGTCTGGCAGCAGAAGATGGGGAAAGATCAAGAAAGGAAGATTTAAAGTACAATGGAATTTGTATGAAACGCATGAATAGTGACAATGGATTGATGTTTTGCAACAGGAACAGTCCAGTTCGATATGATATTTTGCAAATTAACGGTTTACGCGATATGGTTTTCCTATTTTACTGAGTAATTCCGTAATTTTCGTTAAATACAATTCGGTTGCCACACCTGTGTCCTCGTTTACTACAATACTACCAATGCATAACCGGCCGCAAACCAGCATTCTCAACATTAATAATTATCTGCTCAACATGAATCGATTTCTACATTTAAGCCTTCATTTTAATTTGAAGATCACTATTTTATTGATCGCGAATACTACACAAAATAAATGCAATAGCATTGAAACTATATTCACATCTCAAAATATAACTGGGAAAATGCAAACGAAAGATAAAAACAGTAATTTTTGCTCACATAATCGATGACTATAACTTTGTATAGAATTCAGTTCTTTCATATTTATGCCACTGTGAGGATACACAGCTGTTAGATACAATAAATATGTATCGATCGTAAGAAGCACAAAATATTATTAGCGTCATGAAGTTCGATAAATTTTAAACAAACTCTGCTTCGTTCGTGAAACATATTTCACATAAATGGTCAAACCAGATGTATGAGTGTAAAGACATAATCATTGTAATGACCAATATATTTAACGATGTCACTTTTGGTCTATTGCTGTGCACACTTTGCACTGAAAGACGGTTTGTGCATTTTTAAGAGTTTTCAAGTGTTGAGAATGGTACAATGACTGTCGAAGATTAATAATCAGTTCTGAGCCTTTCTTCTGATACGAATAGACGATTAGAAAGTCTTAACTCACTGGTACATACAGGATAGGTTAAGATGAGTGAACTACCTGCAGTGGTTTTATTTCAGTCATTATATGGGGAACGCTGACAATCTGATTAAAAAGCGATTTGTTTCAGCAAAATTCTGCTTTTTCAAAAGCTTTCACCTGGGAACTAGCAGATTTTCAAACGGACTGTGATTAAAACACCAACAGCTTTGAAAGTCCTCTCTGTTTTCTTCGAATTAGTTCATTTGCGATTGTCATTCAAACACTCACATCTAATAGCCTGACCTAATATCTTAACTTGTAATCACAAGAAACAATTAGAAACAATGAATTCGACAATTGGTCATTCAATGCGTTCCAATATGGTCAATTGTAACATTTCGATTACTAGATGTACAAACAAGCAGCAGCTGAATGTATGGAAACACATGACTGCACATGTGAAAAGTCAGTCAGTCAGTCAGATGCGACGTACAACTTCGTACGTGTGAGTACATCAGTTCATGTTCCCATACCACATCAGCACAGAGGTGTATTTGTCAATTCAAATCCAATAGTAGTGGAGGTAGGTAAAAGTATTAGAAGTAATTGCAGAGGTTAGGATTAGAAGATATTATTCAAGAAGTATGATTTAATGAGAAAAGTTTAGAAAGTCAAAACTAGAGGGGTTGAAGAATACAGAAGATGAGGATATGAGAGAACACAAAGAATAAGTGCACCGGCGCCATTGCGAACGATTTTGAGCCATGTCATTCACGGTCTCTAACCATCGATTATTATCATCTCGCGGACCCCAACCAGGTAGTCGACAACTACCGACATGGCTAAGTCCATTAGTCAATGATTTCATGAATTTCTGCCATGTTTTGGTTTGGTCGCCCCTAACCTTCTTCCAACCTATTCCTACACTACAAAACAAAGCTCGTCGAGGCAGTCGGTGGTTAGGCATACGCAGCACATGCCCCAACCACCTCAACTGATCAAGTTTCACCACTTCATCTATTGATCTGCCATCCTTACCTAGCACCCGTTTCCTAATAACAGCGTTGCTCACTCGGGTGTCTCACGATATACGAGCAATGCTTCTTAAACATCTATGATCGAAAACCAGTAACCTACGAATATCTTCTACTCTCACTGGCCATATTTCACAGCCATAATGTAAGACGGAGCGAACTACTGCACAGTACACTCGTCTTTTAGTCAGCAAACGGATATCTCGTCTACGCCATAAGTGACGCATATTGGCAAAAGCTAATTGAGCCTTCTGTATCCCAGCTGAGTTTTTGTCAGTCACCAGGCCATCAGCACTTGTGAAAAAGAGGACAAACATTTCTCGAGTTCACACTCAGTCTACAAATAAACAGTTCATATCCATTTTTCTACAGCCTGAACACGGCAGTTTCCGATAAAATCGACAGCTAAGAACTAAGAACGGACGGAAAAATTTCTGACTAGTTTACTCAATCCAACGCTTGATTACACAGTGACAATTTACAAAATAATGTTATAATATTTTTACCATACAAACCTTTTTGCGTGGACTCGTGGAACAGCGAGAGAAGGACGGTAATGTGGAACAGAATGATGTGACACATTTTTACGGAAACTGACTTCTTCACTGTTTCATATTTATTGTATTCTTTATTGATATCGATTAGCCATTACATTTTGAAACGTTATGGCTGTCTATGATTGGCTAACTGTGAATAAATACATCAAAACGTAGCAAATTGAAACTTCGCTTCGTTTTCAATTGGCATCCTCTCAAATACACAAACATTCGTACAACTCACTAGTCAAGCGAATAAAAATCTCAACATTTTAGACAAATTCGACAATGACCATTTGTCATGAACTAAAGACTTAGCAAATAATAAGCATTAGGTGATTATACTCAGTAGAACCATTCGTTTGAAATAAATGGCATGTACATACTTAGTCTGAAGATGAATGCAGTCAAGTATTTTGTGTAAACGGACGGTTCAGCTCTTGATGAATTTATGTTCAAATGTGAATTAACTCAATATATCTAAATAGGGGGGGCGAACTCAGTAGAAATTAGTATATTCTCGTTTTCTTTCAGCTATTATTCTCCTAGATGAAATGAGGTGACAGAAAAATATGTTCGCTATACTCAATTTGACCTGAAAACAACTTTAGCTTCATCTACTTTGATTAACTGGCATTCAACAAAAATGTTTCTGTGAATATGCGCTTGAGAGACTAAAAAAAAATGATGCGGTTGAATCCCACTCTTCCTTTTACATTACCGTTTCTTCATTCGGTCTTGATCTTTTCAAACTAATGATTGGTCACCTAGTTACAAATAACAAATGTCACTATTTTATGGTCGGAACGAATGACATCATTTACGTATTTTAACAGAGCTGTCACTTATTTAGTAAAATTTGAATTTTCACTTTTTCAGTCCAATAGATTTGTAAGCTGATATCATTGAATAATCTTGTCACCTACATTCCTAATTTAAAAGAAAGGGTAAAGTTTAATAAACTGCGTTTTTTTAGTAACAGTAACTATTGTAGGATCCGTTGTGGAAGGCTTGGTTCGGGGAAATCCCTCCATGTATACATTCGTAATATGTCTTTATTGGTTTTTTCAGTTCTACACTTTTTTCATATGTTCAATTCCATTTTGGGATGGTCATAATCGTATTTTGTTATAGTTTCTATTTCTATGCCTTTTTCAGTTTCTATGATTCCTTTTCGAACTGTATTATGTTGTTTAAGTTGATACTTAATTATAGCGGCAGCCATATTGATTTCGTTGTTCTGACGGATGGATCACTGGCACGGACTGCGATTGTGCAATTTGAATTGGAATTCGGAGCACTCTTCCGGAACTGGAAACACTCTGTGTTGTTATCGGAAGAATAACAGTATTATTAATCTTTAGGTAATGGTGTATATCTATATTTATGAATATTTATGAACCGTTAATTATCCAGATTACTTGTTTTGGATTTCAGCTGAGTAACACGCGTATCTAAACTTCCTGAGATGTTATTCCTATATGCGAACCTCAATTTGGATTCTACAACTACTACACTAAAATTAGTGTTTAAACGGGATGACTATTCATCGTGGAATCTCATTTTAACCTCACAGTCATATTCACTATTGTATTCATATGAGTAAGGTTTTCATTTAATAATCTCAGTGACTATTAACTGCTTTTAAGTATTCAGTAGCAAATCAAGTTAGATGAAATCTCATGCTTTTAACTTATAATAAATATTCGTTTAGAGTTGATTTGTAATATGTGGTGTAGCTTGAATTATTTATGAATGTAAGTCTATTAGATTTATGATCATTTGACAATATAGTAAGTCGCTCTATCAAACATGTGTAACGTGTATCAGTTGAGATACAGTTCCCGTATTTTGACAATTTCCAGACAAATTTGGAGATTTGAGTACAGGCTTATGTAACAAGCACCTGAACAGCATAAGATGTCTTTATATGTGTTTTCATCTTAAAAAGTTATAACTTTTATTTATTAATTAAGGAAATATATTGGTTGAATACGGCTTGTCAGGTTTATAAGTTAGCGTTTTTTTGGCAAGTTAGTTTTTGACGGAACGGGGTCGCCAACCCCATGTCCAACCCTCCTCCTTTACCCGGGCTTCGGACCGGCAGTAGCCCCGAAGGTTCTACTGGCGGAGTTTACGGCTTATCAGCATTATATTTATTCTCTCATCATTCTGTACAAATGAATTCAAGTTGTAAATTGTTAATTAATGCTGGAAATACTTTATTTCTTGATGTTTTTAGTTTAGTCGAATCGTTTACGTCTAACCGGCACTTCATAACAGCAAAATGATGAACGTTCTTGTCAAGCAATAATTAACTTTTTATTGTAGAAGCATAATTATTCAATTTCGTATGCTGTTTTGATCATGAATAAAAAATAATGTGCATTTTTAAGTTGATTTGCATGAAAATAAGGGAAATAAATTTTTTCTCTATCTCTTTAAAGGTCAATTCGTACTGTCAGTTCAGTGGTGCAGATGGCATGACAAACTTATTTTGTAAATAGTTTTTGATACTATTTGTATTTATTCTGTCAATTTTCACAGCCTATACATTCACTATGAAATTGTTGTACATTTTGTTTAAGTGTGTGTCTTTGAATATATCAGGCGCTTTAGCTGCTCCACGTTTCCATTCTGTGTACACATAGCACGGCACTCACTGCCGGATCCTATCAAATACAATTCGTACGCACGTCTAATGTTTTCAACTGTTCATTAATACGATAATTGGATCCTAATACGTATATTGTCTACGTTTATAGACTGCAGTCATACGTATATGCTACTTTACGGATATATACATCATTTGGATTGCTAACATTTCTATAATTGTGGATTTATGGTACCAAACACAACCAAACAGGTACAAGCAGCCGTATGAAGTAACGACCTTACATATTTATTGTGTTTATTACACTTAACTAATATATTTCAATATACATCTCTTTGTATTCAATAACTTAGTTAATATTTTGAAATAATATATCGTTTGGTCCGCCACACAGTGGGCTACAATATCCTTGACGAAGATGACTAATTATTTTATCACAAAGTCAAGTTTTCACTATTACTTATTTTTACTAATCAAAATGAAATCATGTTGACTTAAAAAAAGGCACTCTTCACCAAGACCTTCACTTTTTTTGCGAGTTGTCAATCTAGTCGCCGGTGGATAAATTTTCTACTGTGTAGCTATGTTTCTCGTTTCCTGTTATCACAATCCATGACTTTCCAGCTGCGGTAAAACACATTAACATGATGATTATTATTGAAGCGACTTTATTCAATAATGTCTTGTATATTCATTAGCCTTTTAGAAAAGACGTAGATATCCTCTCAACAATCCTGCAATGCGACGACACCATTTTCAAATAGTGGAATTTTTTTCCTCAAACGCCACATTCTTTGTGTGGTAATATTAAGGATGTACTATGTTCTAGTCACAACATCTGGTCACCATGGATGGTAACACCTAAAAACTGGCATATTCATCAGATGACAACAGAAAACTTCATTTGTATAGGCAGTTATTTACAGCAAATATGTTGTTCATGTTTGACTTTCATTGTCCGTCAGAAGTTTGTTCTGAACTTGCGTGATATATATAGGTACAGCTAACAAACGAACTACTGCTATAACATTTCTCACTTTTACTTCATTAGCTGCCGAGTGAATATATCTCTGCTATAACCGTGATCTGCATTCACAGGTCATAACAATGGGATTTTCAGGTTACATATACATAATATTTGAGCAGTACTGGAACGTTGATCATGAAAAATATTAAACAACCATCATATCTTTCTTTTAAAGTATATTTCAAAAATATTTTCGTCCTATTCAGTGTCCTACATTCCTTTCGAAATAACTCTATCACTGTTTAAATCGTCAAGAATTTTCGCTACGCCAAAAAATAAATAAAAACGATTCCATTTTACATAACTAAAAGCTGAATCAATATTTTGACCGATACTGGGAATTTTCACTATTGCAACATTTTACAAACAGTAGTTTAAAAAAATATTCATATGAATATACCGTCAGTCTGCTGGACATTAATTAAAGCGCCAACAATTATGGCGTCAATTTCGTGTTAGATACACATTGACATGAGAATAATGTACTCTTGGTTTTCAGTCTTGGTTTCTTCAGACCATAGTTTATTGTAACTAATAAAAAAAGTTTCACTTTAATGAGATCAGTGAAAAATCAGTTTATCATTTTTACCTAAGAGTTAAGAAACTTCGTGGCTTGACCTACTACTTAATTACAGACTGAATTAAAACTACTCTCAGCACGCCGGTGAATAACTAGAAAAACCATTGGCTAAAATATTTGATTGAATTCCAATTTTTGTCTGAAAAACGCTTTGTAAAAGCATTAGCGAGCTACAGTTCATTAAACCATCACATTCCTTTAATTAACTGTGCAATTTCATGAGTGAACAAGTTTTTGGTAAGTAACAAAGTACTGTGTTCTTTTTGAGACATTCTTCAAGATTCTTTAAAGAACTAACTCAAATCAATATCTTTTGATAGTTTACGTATGAGTAACATTTGAAATGATGACATTCCTACATCTTTAATTTTCTTTCAGGCGGGAATCTGTAAACATTTTTTCTTTCAGCAGGTCACGAAATTCTTGGGCTATAATACTCAAAGAGATTGTAAATTTGTTGCTTTTGTCTACTTCTGTGAGATAGGCATAGCTAAATGTTCGTGATGCTTTTTATTCAGTTTATCTAAAAATCTCCCACTTAAATTTCTTCTCAGTCACTAAACGGCATCAAATAGAGAGTTTGTATTTCTTAAGTCTGTTTGTGCCGTATTTTTATTGCGCACAATCATTTTCTGTAATTTAGTATTTCAAAGTTTGACACTGTCCTAAAACCTGCCTATTATAATGTCAGTCAGTTGCAACTTCGTACGTATGTACATAAGTTCATGTTGCCATACCATATTAACACAAAGACGCAGAGGTCAAATCAAATCCCATTGTGATAAAGATAGTAGAGGTTTTAATGTTAATAAAGAAGAATAGGGT